GCTCGAAGACGGATAGCCTGCGCAGGTCATCTTAACGAATGGGCCGGGTTTCGCACCCGTACAACACTACAGCACGAACAGTTGCAAAATAGACCCACCCTTTGATGGAGAGACGAATGTCGTGGCGACGCCAAAAATGCCTCAGCCTAGAAAAATCGAGGCCTGCTGTCGAGATGCGCATCGAAATCACCTCTCCAACAGCCCCGCCAGCAGTGATGCAACTTATTAAGTAGACAAAGCTCTCCACAACCTCTAGTGCCTCACCAGCAAGCGTGAGTGCAGGCAGAAGCACCTGCCAGTCTTGGAGGAGAGCCTTGCATTTGGATGGTGAAAAGTACATACCGTACTTTGATGCTTCAATCGCCAAGCGGTTTAATGCAAGTTGGACGACCTGTGGATCGTCACCCAGCAAGACGATATCATCAGCATAATCCAAATCAACAACTTGACTACCTGGGAGGAGCTCAACGCCAGCGTTCCTAAGAAGGCAATGCCATCGTACTGTACAATCGGCTGCACGGATATCCAGGAACACAGTAATCGCTGGCCTCTGATACACATGGCGGAGCTCGAGGATGTGGCGAAGTGTGAAGATTTGTTTGATGCAGCAGCGACCAGGGCGAAACCCAGCTTGTTCTTCTCGTTGCAACGATTCGCGTGTTGGGGATAGCCTGCGAAGTATGATGGACACCAGCAGCTTGCAAACGACGGGGACTAAGCATATTCCTCTGTAGTTGGAGCAGATTGTGCGCAGGCCCTTTTTGAAGATGGGGAGGACTATCGATTCATCCCAAGATGATGGAACTTTCTCTTTCGACCAAATTTCCGGAAACAATGCGGTGAGTTCTCGGACCAGCGATGCGCCACCATCTTTAAATAGAGCTGGATGAAGACCATCAGGGCCGGGGCTTTATAACGTTTCATGTGCCGGAGCTCTTGCTCGATTTCCTGGGAAGAGGGAGGGTCTGTTGGGGTAGACCACTCGGCCCCAGCGCGAGTGCCAGAGGTAGCAGATGGAGCTGGGGGCCAACAAAACTGCGAACCAAAATGTTCGACCCATCGCTCCAACCTTCGGTGAAGATTGGTGATTAAGGTGCCATATTGTTTCACTTATACCAGATCGAATACCTTCGGTGACTCGAAGGAGATGGAAGAGTTTCCTGGTATTGCCACAGAGACTAGCAAGCTCCATCTCCCTAGCACGTTCACACCACCAAGCTTCGCGGTCCATTTGCAGACTCCTGCGCAACTCTCGACCAAGGTATTGGCGTTCCTCACTGTGTCTGGAATCAGATGGGATCAAGCGGCGTCTGTCCATCAGCGACTAGGAGTCGGCGGAAATCCAATGTTTCGGTGGGTGATGGGTAACTCCACAAGTGTCGATACGGGCGGAAACTAACGCATTTTTGATATGCGCCCACTGCGAATCGAGATCACTGTCAATAGTTTAGCCAAGCAAGGTTGACACTTTTAAGCTAAAATGGTTCCAAATGGTATCGAGATCCAACTTCTGTAGAGTCCACCAGTCCATATCATCTGCAGCCATGTGTAGGCGGAGTGGATTGGTGCGCCAGCAGTTCCGGCGAGTTATGCTCCGGTTGTGAAAAGTGGGTCGTCTTGTCCATAACAAGGAAAGCGCACATTAGTCACTTGACTCAAGTGGCCGGAGAATCTCTAGTTCTAGTAGAACTGTATCTGAGGTCGCTGTGATAATACCACTGTGAAGTAACCCAGCTGACGCTGGGGGCATCGAAGTTTCCCATTATTAAGCAATCATTGCCTCTGCCATGCATATTAAGCGAGTCCATCAATCGGGATTTGGAGGCCATTGGAGGTCCGTAGACAACACAAAACATGAGTGAATAATGTCCGTCCTGGACATGATAAAAATTATCTCCGATGCACCGACTGTTGCAACCCGCTGTTAAAAGAATGAGCATATTTCAAGAATCTATGTATTTGATCAAGTTGGGCTACAGGCCTGAAGTCGGACAACCGTACTGCGTCAGCCCATGATGCCAAATGCAAACGCTGCTCTGGCCATGGCGGAGTGCTCAATACATACAGTGATAGTGATTGATCTTTGATCATGGTGGTTGGGTTAGTTAGGATTGTACTAACCATAACACAGACTGTCTCACAGGCAGCCTCTGCGACATGAATTGTCAACACAGACTTTCAGTAGAGTAGGACTCCACCTCAAGATCTAAAGAAAACTGTTAGTCAGGAAAGCGTATTTCAGAAGCTAGCATATCAGGGCATAGCGGCGTCTCAGCAAAAGCATAGCTGAGATTGACACTGTACTTAGAAGACATCTTTCCTCTTCAACTTCGCTATTGATGAAGTCATGGAAACAGCGTTCGCTGGACACGACCTAGATGGTGTGGAGCTACTTCCTGGTGAGCGACTTCTTGACTTGGAGTATGCGGACGATATTGCCCTAATCTGTGACAGCCTCCAAACATGCCAAAGAGCACTGGACCGATTAGCACTGGCTGTCAATCGTTTTGGGCTATGCTTTGCTCCATCGAAATGCAAAGTACTTCTCCAAGATTGGCAGGGACCCAACCCTGCGCTAACGCTTGGTGGTGATCTGCTAGAAGTCGTTCAGGAATTCAAGTACCTGGGCAGCTATATTAGCACCCGTGGGATTGAAGATGAGGTTACGAACCGCATAGCAAAAGCTCGAGGTGCTTTTGCCAATCTCCGCCACCTGTGGCGCAGACGCGACATTACTCTCGCCCTGAAAGGCAGAGTTTACAACGCAGCCGTCCGTTCCACTCTCTTATATGGTTGTGAAACCTGGCCCATCAGGTCGACTGACATGAAGAGACTCGTCACATTCGATCATCGCTGCCTTCGCAGCTTAGCTCATGTCTGGTGGGAACACCGCGTGAGCAATGAGCGTGTTCGACGTCGCGTATTTGGTGCAGGCAGAGCGAGTGAACCGCTCAGCACCATTATATCACGCACCAGGCTCCGATGGCTGGGCCACGTGTTGCGCATGCCAGCACACCGACTCCCGCGACGTGCATTGTTTGCGCGTTGTGGGTGCGGTTGGAAGAGGAGGAGGGGAGGCCAAGTGATGACTTGGTCGAGAGAAATGAAAACCCTCACTTCAAAGTTGGCGTCGGTTGGTGCATCCCGACTGCCTGGCTGGGGTCCTAAGGACGGTGAACACGTTTGGTTGGACACACTTGCTGATATGGCTAGGAGCCGGCACCAATGGCGTTTGTGTTGTGATTTCCTTTGCCCATCCCCCTCCTGTTTAGTATCCCCCTCCAACCACGATCTCATCTGTTAGGCATAATATGATTCTCTTTTTACGGCAGCCAGCTGTTAGCTCTCCGGAACGATGTCCATCCGTTACTGGGGACTCAGCGGGCGTGCCACTGTTTTTTCCTTTTCTTTTATTTTGTATTGCGGCACAATAGCTGAGGTGTATTCCACCTCCAGCTAACGTGTAATGATGATGATGATGATGACATTTTTGTATTACGACACAGTAACTGAAGTGTTTTTCACCTTCAGCTAAAGTGTGCTGATGATGATGTTGATTTCATTACGGGCTTTCTTGCTTCTCACTCGGACTTCATGGCAGAGATCCATCAAGACATGTGATGTTTTCCCCTTAAGCCGCGAGGTCCGCCAGATGCTATGGTGACATTTATCTTAATTTTGATAAACGATCTTCATTGGATGCAACTTAAAACTATCCTCCTGCATCCGGCCAAGGCAAAAGAGAGAGACGACATTGATCCTCTGTTAACCGTAGAACAGTGAGGAAACCATCCGTTTTAGGAAGGCCTGGTTATCCATTATCCTCTAGATCGGCGTTTCCTTGTTAGATTCGGGAGCCTTCTCAATGAGCAGACACCGTTCAAGAGGAGAATCTCTGCTTCCCTCGGAAACAGGAGTGCTTTGTGGTTGTGGGTGTGCCTTGATTAAGTCCTCCAGTTGACTCATCCTGTCAAAAACCAGCTTTAGTTTTTAATTTGAAGAGTTAAATTGTGTCTTGGGTTTGTGATTCTTTTTCACTTGGACTTGGTGCCAAGATGTACTCAGTCACCTTGCTGACATAGCGCTTTGACTGACTACGGCGGCATATGCTTTCGTCTCACATGGGCTACCTGTAGGACTAGTAAATACTAGTCCGAGACGGTGCGCGAAAGTGAGCGCGGATATCAGAAGGCAATTAGAGTCGGACACAGCGGACTGCATTCGATGGGCTACAAGAAAACGAGGACGGATGAAGAAAGACACGAGATACACGTTAGCGCAGGTACTTACAAGGCGGTCGAATGTCGAGCCGGTTGTAAGGAAGACTAAAACAAGAAAGAATAATGTACAATTCGTCAACAATTAAATTGTACATGAAAGATAGCAGTTATCTTTTTGGGCGCTACATACCCTGTTCAACCGTCGTCGATAGTTCCGGGGAGGAACTAGATGAGATTCGGCTCCGTTTTCCTTAGGGGAAGTTGGGAGAGACGCGGGTAGAAGTAAAAGTGTGGCATGAGTTCTTTTCGATGTACAAAACACAGGTTGAGCGGGAACGCAAGGTAGACCGGGCAGTGATAGAATGACCGCGAGACGTGTAACTATTAGCATGGCTCGACGAGATTTACAAAAGCGGTGGACAACCGTGGAGGTGTGCCGCTGCAGACTTTGGTTCATCAGTGTATCGACATTACAGCAGGCGATGTGCAGCCATCCATCACAAGGAAGCAATCGGCGGCTTTTGAACAGAACGAAACTCTTTACCGCAATCTAAGCATTTGAAGGTCATGGTGCATTATACTTGACAATGTTCAAATATCCGGCGAGCATATCTCGAAAAATACGAAATCTAGTCACTTTTCTTCACTAGGAAGACCTCAGTGGAAAGAAACAACCAAGTATATAGATACAGGCATACAAATTATGTTTATAATGTTGCGACAAGTTCACCACACGTAAAAAGATTATTTATTTCTTTTGAAAAGTACGCAAACGCTCACCAGTTTTTCAGATGATAAATGTTCAAACCAACTGATTAGTTTTCCTTTTGTGATGGAATGCCTCTGTTTGGAAGGAACTGTAACCCAGGTAGCGAGCTTGTGCTTTTCGTTCTCCTCTTCAATATTATCTTTTAAAGGACTCCATCTGTATCTGATACACACATCAGATTTGTTATAGATTATACAGTTTTTGGTAGCAGATTGACCAATGTAAGTAGATCCTAGGTTTAAAACGTCTGCTTCCAATTGCACGGCAGCGAGTTGTCCCACACCTTTTAGCTTAACAAAGAGTGTTTCACCTGAAGAACTGTAAACAAAATTAATTGCCGCACCTGTATCCAGTCGTACATAAAGGTTTTCAGCGTAAGTTCCGCAAAGCTCCGGAAAAAAGACGAATTCAAGTGTACAGCAGCCAAATGGTTCGATAGAAAATGCTGGATTTTCTGCTTTGAATGGACTGACAAATAAAATTTATTATGAGCTCACGGTGTGGTATGCAGTGTGACACTGGAAGCAGTCTTTCCAACGTTTCTTATCATGATAAATTTTGAAGTGTTGTATTTTATTGTACAGCTTCCAAAATCAATTACATCAGGAAAGTCTAAAATAGCTCGAGGACCGAGGCAGTAAATTGGAATCTTATAGGTTTCACGATCAGTAATGCACAGCAGTTCATGCTGGTAATCGCGAAGTGAGTCGGGTGTAAATGACACCAGACAGTGTAGTGATAGCCCTGCTGCAATCTTATGTCCAATAGGGCTTAAGTATTTTATTTGAAAATATGGATTGTTTTCGTGCACCAAATGCACACTGTGCATCATCTATTGTGGTCCCAATGCCAAATAAATAAAATAGATAACTAACCGAATCAACGTTACGCAGTATCAATGGTAGTTCATATGTGTGGTTTTCGACATAGTTTTGGAACACAAGTTCAGATGGGCATAACTCAAATAGTGGACTGCTAATGTCACACTTGTGCGCCTTGGGATAAATAGTGATCAACTATTATTCACCTTAACACAAGCAACCCCGTCGGTGCTAAGTGACGTTAATTGTGGGGGAAAGTTACAACGTAGGTGATTTAGATATTCAACTGAGGTAAGTGACATTATATATTCGAACTCTTTCGGAGTGAGCTGTTTGGGGTAATTTGTCAACTTAATCACATGTACCGAGCAATTATTTGCGTCTTCATAGGACTCGGAGGAGAAATCAGCACTGTATTTGTTTATCCATAATTGTCTGTTTTGGTGGTGTGACGGCAACACTGCACTTTTCATGAGTTGGACATTTGACTGCCCTTGCGGCATGTTTAAAAAATCGCCTTAATATCACTATGGTAACCGTTCCAAGCACGGGTGGGAACTAACTTAGAGCTCTAACTGGGCCGACCATGTACTGTGTGGTTTGGTACGGCTATCGTATGATGCAAATGAGTTATTGAGGGTGGAGATATTTAACAAGTGATAAATGCTTCATCTAAACTTGCGTATACATATGGTCATCGATTTATATTATTATGTTCCTATAATATTAAATCTAACTTAATCATAACTTTATTTTGCTCTTAACACCGATAAAGTGTCTTCTTTGGTTTAACTTTAATCTTCATTATTTCATTCTTGCCTCCATTTCTGTTATATTTATCATTGAACTTGGTTCCTTCGTTCATTGGTTGATAGAGAATAGAAAGAAGTTCCTTTGTCAGCTCTGTCATATCCTGATGGTTACGAAGGTTGCTGTGATTATTGCGGAACCCGGTTCCGCAGAATACCTCTGTGGTTTGTACTGGGGGTCAGCAAAATCCCTGCGCACTTTAAGGGTGGGAATCCAACAGTCATTTGAAACAGTCCTCTATCTCCGCATCGGCGACAACCTCCGGCAAGCTGTTCCGTTGATTTAGTACCCGGGTGGATAGGGCCAGATCGGAACGCACAAGAAGTCGCCGCGCTTTGAACATTTCCACCGGTGGCGTTGAGTTGCACACTTTGTGCTGAGACGAAAGAACAATTGCATCGCGTACATATCATATCTGGGCGGCGACGACGATAATCCAAAGGGAAAAGGTTCAAACGTTGAAGCCGTATGGGGCAAGATATGTCTGGCAACTCTGGAACGGGTTTGGATCCACGACGTTGAACCTACTCGATGATGTCGAGTTCGGGGTTGGTGACAGGATACGCAGCAGGCAACCCGTACTCGAGAATTGGGCGCCCATATGAAGCAAACAGTAGTCTGAAGGGTACTGGTATCAGGCATAAGAAGGCTCTGCGTATAGCGTGACGTATTCTGTAGTCGGCGCGACCCTCTTTCTGGTTGCCTCGATTGCCTTGAGATCAGGAGACACAATCCCCCGAGATCCCTCTCCTGGTTGACATTTCTGAGTAAGAAACCCCCGATATGCTAAGCTCCAAAAAGCTCAGGAGCACCGACTGGAAGGACAGCGCATTTGTCACGATTAATGGGCAACTGCCACTTTACTGATCAATCGTGGAGCAACTCGAGGGTTGTTTGGACGCTGTCTGTACCTACCAGACTGGATACTTCAATACGCAACTTCAGAGTAGCCGTGTAGGTTAAGCGGTCGGTCTGCAGTTCGCATGGCAGGTCGTTGATAAAGATATTGAAGAATTCGGCGCCGAGTGCAGAACCCTGGTGGACCCCACTGGTTATGAGAACTGGATCAAAAAGCGCTTCGTTCACTTTAACCAGCATGGAGCGACCGTGCAAAAAATCGGAGACCTAAAAAAGAAAATTGTCAGTGACGCCGATTCCCCGGATTATGTGGAGTAGCAGCTCATGCGAGAATTTGTCACAAGCATTACTGTAATAAGCAGACACAGCACCCAAAAGCTTACCGGCATCTAAATACCTTGCCCATTTTCCCTAGTCACCAGCAAATTTGTGGCGTATGACCGCGTCCTTCGGAAACCAGGTTGGGCATGAGAGAGGAACTCCGACGCACCGGGACGAAGGCGAAGGGCTCGTTTCAGAATACGTTCCACGACTGCACAAAATCGAAGTCAGGCAGATGGAACGAAAGTTGGATGGATTCTGTCGGTTCCCTCTTTTATAAATCGGTTTAACTGTTCCCAACTTCCAGGCAGTTCGAAGCCGTTCGAGATCAAACGAAGGACGGAAGGTTTGACAGATAGGAGCTGCTGGTTTTCAGAACGCCTATGTCAAACTTATTCTCGCCAATCCTTGAGTTAGGGATTGCCGTCAAAGCAATTGCAGATTATTGGAAGTTAATAAAATACGCACTGTACATTGCGCAATAAAGCTAAAACATTTAGTTACAAGCCATTTTATTGTGCAATATTTATATTTTGGTGAACCCAATGTTGCCTCCTCATTCGGACAAATCCTTCGGTAAGGGAGTTTCGTACGGACGGTTTCATAAGGAACGCTCTAACTTATGGCCCTTACAATAGGTTTGGTCTACTGGTGGGTAGTATAAAGCTCATTCCACCTCAGTGTCGCCTTGTTTGGCACAGGCATATAACTGAAGCGAAGAATGCGTTTTAAACACTTGGGCTGGCATTCATTCCACTGGATACCATCCAGCAGTTCCACGGAACTTTGTTTCGACGATCTTCTTCTTGACATGGCGTGTCCTGTTCTCGCTCACTTGCTATTTATACCCTATGGAGCCCCGTAGCATGCACCTTGAGTACAGCTATAAATATATCAGCTCGATATTCTATTTGACATACCTCTTACCTGCACTTTCAAAGTGTCCAAACCTTAGGCGCTACTGGTGAACGCCAGTTAACTAGTCATATTAGCTTTCTTCCATTCATTTTCTAAATAAATTACTAAATCACGCCATTTGGGCTTGATCAGCATGTTGCATTATTGTACATTAAGCATAGTTAGTCAGTAGTGTGGGCCCACATGGCCCAGCCATTGTACGCAGTTTATCTTCACAGGATGCGAGATGTATAAGAATTAGCTCATTAAGGTTGAGTATGTTGATGAGGACCAATCCGATGAGCCTGTGTAAACAGCGCGGGTCAGGTGGGTGAAGCTTGAGAAAAAAGCTGCAACCATAAATTAAGTATAGTGGCCTGTCACTGATCAAATATGTAGGCGTAGTCATAAGGGAGCAGATATATGCACGGAATTAGCGCGATGTGGTATCAGTCGACTTGCCAATGCATGGTTGTGGCAGTGACTTTACTGGGTGATGTGTCACATCCGTCACGTTGCAGTGTTGTTAAACAGACATTTGTGGCTTTTTGTAGCGAGAACGCTTGCCAGGCGAAAACCCACCACTTCCTGGAAAACTGCCGACCGGTTATATGACCTTGGCAAGATTGCAGCCGATCGTTTATGCTCGCGGATATTTGCAGTTATGTTTCGCCAAACTTTTTCCTATAGTTGTGTAATTGTCTCCTTCGGCGTCGACCGCAGGTGGTTGGAGCTGTTGAAGTCGGACGACTCAGGTGACTTGTATGGATTTGATGTGATTTCTAGGTTCCTCTGTGAGTCAGCATTACGTAGCGCGGATAACTTCATTGGTCTTTGTTCGTTCGGTGGTTAGGTGAGCGTCGCAGGTATGTCCTCAACCATGTTCCTTGCAGATACTGTTATCCTTTAGAACCAGGGAAAAAAGAAAAACGGACCGAGCAAACTACCAAGGAAATTGAATAGGACTATGTTAATGGATATATCCAAAATTTTTGGTAACCTTGTGCTGGGTAAAGCAATGGAATGGCTGGATATTATATACATCAATTCTATTGTTTTTCATGCAAGTGCGCGACCCGATATTTGTTGACTGTGAAAGACAGATGCTGTCCTAATGGGCCTAGCGTACGCAACGGTTGTCCTGTGTAGAAACCGGGAGTATCAGGCGTTGTCAACTGGCAAATGAGTTCAGGAGAGCAGAAGAACCTAGTAGGTAGTGAAATATGTGACTAAGATGTAGATTGCGCGATCGGTAGACAGCGGTAGAGCTTATCATTCGAACATGTATGAGAGCCGGTGGAGTTGCGACGTCGGGTTAGAGACCCATGAAAGTAATAACGTATTATGTTCAGTAATCGGAGGCTAGAGAAACAGCTAGGTGCTGGTGTGAGACGGAGTGTCAAAGAAGTTGCGACAAGCTAGGAGGGACAATATACCAAAGTTGTGGAAAAAATACGGTTGCAAAACCAGCTCTGAAAGGGGCCTGGAATAGCGGAAACAGTTAGGGACTCCTATAGTACAGCCTACAGGTCAAATAGACGGCGGGAAATAACGTTACTGGGAGTCGGTTTATTCCTGAGGAAGAAATTGCCCGTTGCCGTATGACGCGACACAGACTGATAGGTATTAAACGTTAAAAACGATCGAGAAGAGAACGGATTATATGCTAGGGCTGTATCGAGAAAACGGTTGCAGAGCCAGTTCTGAAAGGGAACAGTAATATTACCAAAGTGTGTGCAGCAGCGCCAACGGCTACTAGGTGTTCCACTCTAAGGTGGACATCCACAGTGGAAGGTAGAATTCAAATAGACTGCTAGAGCGTGAGCGGCTGGCAGCCTGCATAATTAATAATCAGGAGCAGGCACGCTATTTTGAGCTCAGGCATGGACTAATAGGTATACAGTGTTGAAAACAGGAGGGAAAACAGCTAGCAATAATTGCAACAGCTGTAGCGAGAAAACGGTTGTGGAGCCAGCTCTGGAAGTGATCAATGATAAAGGAATGTTGCTGACAGCACCACCAGAAGGTGCTAAGTATTTCACTCGATGGTTTGCTTCTACAGTGGGACATACAACTCTAATACGTCGACAGAGAGATGTAAAGGTGCGTACCGGATTGATCGTAACGTAGCAGCCGCGCGTTCTCTAGGGATGTGGCACGTAATGGTACGCATGCAAATTTGAAACCTGGAGCGATAATAGACGGGACTACAAACTACAGCTAGGGCGCGACAACAGTTGCAGTGCCATTTCGAAAACGGGACTGGGGCATCGGAATAACTTTGGCAGCAGCGTCAAAAATACTAAGTGTTCCCCTTTGGTGGACTTCTACCGTGAAGCAAATAAGTCAGCTTGACGGAAGAGAAGAGTAAGGGTGCGCGCCGGGTTAATTGCGTGGCACGGGTCGCTCGCTGTCTGTAGAAGAGGCATATACTGATAGGCATTCAAAGTTGAATGCACTCTAGCCAAAACCTGAGAGATTACATTACATTCCTGATCTACCTCCGAAAACTTACGTCTTTTCGAACAGCCACTCTCAGGGCTTCCAACTAAAGCCCTTATCAGCCCTATCTGCTACTCTGTGCGGTATTTGTGGTCACGTTGGTAACTGATTGCTG